GGATATGTTTATGTATTCACAATAGTTTGTGAACATTTCACCATCAGTAATAACAGTTTTTTTTGTTTCATAACCCTGTCTGCTATTCTTCAGTAATTACGATGCGATGTATCAATACGTGCGTGAACACAATTATGCTAATGAGGTCATCGCCTTCTTGGATTACAAGCGGTAGTTTTTCCTGGCCGTTTCGACTTGCACTGATCACGGTTACTAAAAATGTAACCGTGCATTGATTACAATATTTACCATAGTTTGTAGTCAATTTCAGTGAGTAATACAACTTCATTCGCTGACATAAAACAAGATTTATTCTTGAAATTCGACCCTGTGTCTTAGTGTTCCCACAGATCTTGACCGAGTGCTCACGTTTATTGAAACCTTGCATAAATCAAGAAATAAGTATGTGTACAAAGTGTACGAAAGCATTCCTTTATTTGACCTTATCATACGATGACAAAAACAACTTTTTAAAATCTTTTTTGGGGTGGTCCTTGGGTAAGCGCCCACCCCCAATTTTTCCCAATTTTGTACGTTCAGGCCCCTGGGCGCGTGCCCGGGGTAATACGGTACATCGCAGAATGCGCAAAAGCAATATTGTTCTTATCGACAGCCTTGTTTTTTTGTGTAAGAAATAAATTATTCATGATAAAGATGATGATAACCTTTAATTGATCCACAAATAATATAAAAACAGTATGTGTTGATAAACAAGTAAGGTGTGTTTCGGCATACTCTTCCTTTGATATCCATATCCTGGTAGATCCAAAGTTTCCCCAACCTGGTACAGTCGTACAGGGACAACCAAACAAATGATAACTTGATATTTTTGTTCAGTTTTAGCAATTTTATGTATCATTGCCATTCTGGTTATGAAGTTTCTTTATGACAGGTCAGGAAATAATAGTACAATAATAAATTGTTTTGCAGATGTCCTGGGCAACAAACAAAGGTACTAAAGGTGCAGAATACAAGAAGTACTGGGATTCTGATCTTGGTGTAGCATACATCCCATGGGACAAGTTAGCAACTGGTATTGATTTGGAAGAGTTGTCAGAAGGTGGCATGATTGATCAAGAGACTTTACCGCCAGAATTGAGAAAAGGTTGGTACAATTCGCTGAGCGTTGATGTGGCTATGTGTGTCACATGCCCCTATATTTGTTTGATTCGGGATCAGCATGATCAGAATTTAAAGTTACATTTCTTTTTCTTTTTTTTTTTCCAGCTGAAGAGACCGAAGTGGATGAAAAGAAAGATTTGGCCAAGATGTCACAAGATGATCTGATAGCTTTGGCAGCTGCCCAAGCTGCATCTGTATCTGTAGATACTCCAACCACTGATCAAGGCACACCAGGACAGACCCCTGGAACAACGCCCAGTCAAACTCCGATGCAGACCCCCGGACAGATGCATCCACAGATGCCACCTTCTCTTCTGGCTCGCCCACCAGGGTATCCAGCAGCTATGCAGTTTCCTCCTTTCCCAGCTTTCAACCCGAGAGTTCCACCACCACCTTTTGGTATGCCAGGATTTAATCCAGCCAGACCTCCACCTATGGGTGTTCCACCGCCAGGCATGATGCCTCAGATGAACCCTGCGCCACATTTTGCAACAGCTCCGATGCCTGTTACACAGAAACTTGATTCGGGGGATAACTCGGACATTGGTAAAACTATAAAGTCTGATTCTGATGGTATGAGTGATATAGATGAACGCCAATCAGCACGGGTGAAACAGCTGCTGAACACTCTGAAATCGGTATCTAATCAAGATCAGAACAAGACGAGCACTTTAAATGATTTTTCAAGCCCTCAAAGAATTCCAGCTTCCGCCCCAGGTACGGTCACGCCCGCCTCGCCTTTAATAAGACAGCCTATGCCATTTATGCCGAGACAGCCAATGACCGCACCTGGAATGGTCAACCAGCTGGGTGTTAGAATGCCGATGGGAATGGCAATGAATATGCAGCCAAACCAGATGGGGATGCCTAACCAAATACCTGTTGCAAGTATGCCTCTATCAACATCAGGTGCTTCAAACGTTACAAATGTACTTGCCGCCACACAGCAGATGGGTCAGCGCTTACCTGCTATGATAGCAGCAATAGCGCAGAGTGGAATTCTTAACAGGCCAGCTGGTATGGCTGGTGGACAGATTCCGAATTTAATGAGCATCAACATACAACAATCAACACAACAGCAGCCAGGGAATATGGGTCAAGGAATTCTACAACAGCCAGGAAGTAGACCTCCGCTATTAGGGGCAGTTCCATCCAGAATGCCGATGGGTCAGAATTTACCAAGCCCTAATATGCAGAGTCTACAGAGAGCCGCTAACCCTGTACAGTATCCTCTCTCTGTTTTGCAAGGAGCTACAACCAACGTGCGACCCCAGGTTCCAGTCAGTGGTGACGATAGAGAGAAAAAAGATGGATTTGGTGTATCTCAAGTACTTAACGCTCATTTACAAACTAACAGAAGTAATTTTTCGCGAGATGTAGATGACAGGACTCTGGACTCAGGTAGTCAGGAAGGCTTTAATGAGCGATTTAGTAGTTCTAATAGATCTGCGGAGTCGGGAAAACTGTTTGATGACAGTGATGAGAGGGATAGGTGGAGAAAACCCAACGATGACTGGGGGATGTCCAGAGGAGGTGTTAATGAAAAGTGGAGCGGTTTGGATGCAGAGAGGGGGATAGGTTTTGAAATACCTCCCCGTGATCGTGATTGGCGTGGTCAAAGCCCGAGGGGTGGAGGCATGCCAGACATGAGAGATTGGAGAGGTCGTCGTGGTGACAGGGGCCGTGACTGGAGAGAAGAAAGAGGTTTTGACCGGAAAGATAGGGACAGAGAATGGCGTGGCAACCGTGATTATAGAGATAATCGGGATAACCGTGATAGTTTTGTAGAACGTGGCTTTTCTCGTGGTTATGATCGCGATCGCGATAGGGATCGAGAACGCGACTACAGTCGAGACAAGTACAGGGAATTCAAGAGAGAACGTAGTCATGAGAGGGATGAATCATTCCACAACAGGAGGAATAGAGATGATAGAACGAGGTCTGTGAGTGAAACTAAGGACAAAGAAACTAGCTTGGATAAATCTCCGGAAAGCACTGAAACAGATCAAGCATCGAACAATGAGGTACCCAAGAAGGAAGCTATATTATCGCCAACAACTGAAGAGAGACCTATCGACAAATCTATTAATGATCACAATGGGAACTCCTCGCCTGTAGCAACTCACAACGATGAAGGACCAAAAGTGAACGAAAAATCAAATGTGTCTCAGGAAAAAAACCTTCCGAAATCTATTTCTGTAGAGGAGGACCAAGTGTGTGAAAAAGCTGTTTCGTCGCCAAAGTTGGAAAATGCTGACTCAACTGAAGTTGAAAGTAAATCAGTTGAGAGTAAACCTGTTGAAAATGCTGAACCATCCAAGATCACGACAGACCAGGAATCTGCTTAATTAATATAGCAGTGATAAAATGCACTTACCTGTATGCGTTTGTTGTGTGCCTTTATTCTGTGACAAGCTAGTGAGCTGCCTTTGATATGACAAGTACTTGTACAATAAGTGATATTGGAACGCTTTCATACATCTAATTGTTGACCAAATATGAGCTGCAATATGGAAGATATTCCATTTTTACTTTGAATAATTTTGCATAAATCCTTGTGGATGAGTGGAAATAAATTTTATCAGTTTTTATTTTTGTAACTCGGATTGACAGTGGCATCTTGAGGGTGACTGGGAATGGGCAATACCTGTTAGCAAGTGAGAAAACATATAAACAGACCATTCTTTGAAAAATTCAACGCCCTGGTTTATTTTCACAGAGCACTTGTTTAAAAAAAAAAAGTTTCAGTACATGCTAACATGTTTTGCAGCCTGATTGTGGGGTGGTTTGATCTTGGGACCATGAAAGTTGCCGAATTGAGGAGTATTTTTGCAAGCTTTTCCCTATGCATGTAGTGAAAATTACCAGTGTTGCATTGTAGGTAATGTAGCTGTATCTCTAGATCCAAATCTGGTGAGTGTGTTTCTAGAAAACTAAAAAAAAAAAAAATATCTAACTTTAAAATCCATATATTCTGTACTCCAACGCCCAGCCAATATTTTCAATGGTTATACAAAAATGAGCCTCTTGCACTTTCATTCTGATGTTGTAAAATACATCATTTATAAACTGACATTAAGATCATTGGCTTGCATGCATTATAATTAGAGAGTACATTAATGAACTAGATTTCCCCCACTGACCTTGCTGAACTGTTTGGATATAGGGATACAGTTTAATCATAGTTTGGGGTGTTCTTTGTGTTGCCAAAACAAAAGCAAAAATATTCCCACTCTGAACCAAAGATTCACTGAAGTAATGCTGCTGTCACGAAAACAGGATAAAGGGGGAAAAAATGAAGTTGCTAGAGCTACTGAGCTGTTGCGTAGACTATTGTGTAAGTAGGCACAGGGAACCAAATTGGATCTCTGTGCGTTTCACTTTAATTTGTGTTCTATGTTGCTTTGGAGGCTTAAAGAAAATGGTGTGGTTCCTTAGAGTGAGTTTGATGTTTTAGCACAAGTCAAACTACATTCTTTATTTGTAAATTTCTCGAAGCAAGATAGCTCAAGACTTGGTAATGTTTAGTGTACAATTTTTAACATTTTGTTAAAGGGAATGTTCAGTTTAATTTTTATTGTTCAACTTTCCATAATTTAGCATAATTTGAAGTTCATGGAACCACGCTCTTTTATTTCAGCGCCTGCTAGTTGTAGTTAGTGCCCCCCCCCCCTTTCCTTTAACTTTAAATCAACTTGTTTCTCGTTACCATGTGTGCAAGCTGTCGTTTTAAAACAACAGAATTAATGATGGACTGGCACTTCTACTGAGTTTCCAGACGAACTAGTGACATGCCACTGATAAACTGTTCTACCAACTGTGTTGTATTATTCGTCTGATGTCGCATTCCAATTATACACCTGTTTTTTTATTGAACTGATTCTTATAATTGATGCCCACCCCCCATGTGTTCTTTACAACACTCCCTTTTTTGATAGTATGAATATTTCCTTTTGGCAAGTCTTTAATACAAAGTTGATGGTTGCTGCACATTGAGGATTGGTTTACTTGTAAATGGACAAAAATGTAAATGTATAGTGCATCTATTAGACGTTTAGTTGAATTGTGAATATAGTGATCTTGTTGAATCAACACGAAGCAATCTCTCCCGAAAGAAACATCGTGATTTTTTTTTTTTTAAATAGATCTTCAGATATTTTACTAATAGTTCATACTTTGTACAGGCATGGATACAGGGTAAGTCTTTTCTATGTAAGAATCCTGCAGATCAAGACTTTTGAATAAGGCAACTCTGTATTTATCCAGAACAACACGTTGAGGTGGGTTTTACCGTCAGGAAAGATTACTTGACTTTGAGCACTGGTGATGCCTTGTATGGGTGCATCTTAGAAAATCGCAGCAATGCTGTGACCTTGGGGCATTGTTGCCATGACTTGCACGTACTGTGCACAAAAGCATTTGAAATTTTGAGGCTTTTGCTGGTTCACCTTTTGTCCTAAGCCATCTAACTTTTCCAACAAAGTAAATACTTCTTTGTATATTATATATATGGACTTTGTAAGACAAATTTTTGTTAATGTGATGTCCATTTTCAAAATTATTGAAATTCGAAACTGATCTTGGTTTTACGGAAAGTTGTCCAAAACTGCGTTTAGCGTTGTGTAGATTGTCTACCTTGTTTATATAGTTTGAAAAGAGCACTGTACGTTTTGATTTCCATTAGATGGAAGTATAATCGGTGGAAAAATGAATAAACCTGTCTGAAAATATTTGTGTTGGAGTTTACAAAAAAGTTGGTCAGACACTAATACGTTTTTACTTTGGTAGTAAAAATAGACTTAGAAAAGTTGTGTAGATTTATTGAAACATTGTGATAAGCTGAAGTCAAACCAATGTTTATACTTGTAAATATTTATAAAGTTTTTGGAGATAAGATTGGCTCAGCGATGTCTAAATCCATTGCGGGTAGGTCTCGAAACAAATTAAAACGGGAGTCGTCGCCTGCTCATGTGTCAGATGGCCATAGTGTGTCATTGTTCAGAAACTAGCATCTACCCATGAACCTTTGCGTTTTTAGCGTGTGTGATTATCGCTTGGGACTTAATTCTGTCATGTGCGCAGGTGACGACTCTCTCGCTTCAAGTCAATTCTCAGGCAATGAGAAAAATAAAGCAATTATTCAGGTTTTTTTTGTTTGTAACGTACATAGCATTGATTTCAGTGATACAGAAATTGTTTGTATATAAGTTGCACTACTACAGAACTACTGTTGTACTGGATATTGACCTTTCTAATGTAGATACAAGCTGCATATTAATATGCCAACTGTTTCAAACAAGATTTTGTCGAAAGTTTCTGCTATAAAGTAAAAAAAAAAAATGGTTACAGTGTGGTTGAATAGAACAAGAGTTACTGTATGCCGATTACAAAAATACAAAAGGCGTTTTACCATTTTTTGAGTGTTTGCTGCAAAAAATCAAAAATGTTTTTTTTTTAGATAACTCAATGTCAAAATGAAGATTTTTCAGAGGGGAATATTCTCTTTATAAACCCTTACTTCATCGAATGTGTATTATTAAACATGTGAATAAGTCAAAATACTTGACATCAGACGCTATGTTTATTCCATAATGCAGGATCTCTGTGAATGGAAATGCAGTTTTGTTAACCTAAGTAATAAAAGTTTGGTCGAACGCACTGGATTATTTATTAAATAGATTAGTTTTGAGTTACCTTAGAAACTTGCAAGCTGAGGTGCAAACATGTTTTCAATATTTGATAGAATGGCAAAAACTGGAGAAAACTGAATAAATTGTGCTAGCTAGAAATTAACCCCCATTCTCTCAAAGAAACTGATGGCGTACAACTCCAAACTTGTCTATTAAATGTGTATTAAAATTAAACTTTTCAACATTTAAATGCAGGGCTATTAATGAGTGTAACACAACATTGGGTCTTAATGTTTAAATGGGATTTTCAGAATACTGACCATCTTAGACGTAGATGTATTTTTTTTTAAGTAAAATCCCTTGTCAAGGAAAGTTGAGGACAATGAAACATAAAATGTTGAAATAAATTAGCATAACAATAGATTCAATGGCTAAAATGCATATAAAAACATGGCTGGTACAACACTCTTAACGTGTACAGTGAATGGCACAAAGCCGTGGCTATTAAAACATTTATAAAATTTGTAAATGCCAATCATTTAAGTTTTTATTCAAATTCAAAGATGATTAGCGAAACATTGTCTACTCCCACAATGTGTGCACATGTCTACCTATGACATAGCAACTGTGCTGCTCGTATATTCAAAATGAGGCGCTTGCTGATTGAATAATGTAGAACTATGTCATTAATATTAGAACTAATGATGTCAATACCATTGCCGGATTGGTTAATTTGAATTCTAACATCTATTCTGGTTCATAAAAAAAAAAGGAATACTGTGGAATACTTTATTTTTGCTGGAATTAATTTTCGCTGAAAAAGCTTACTGGGTGTTCTCTATGAAATTTATTTTCACTGATTTTTTGTTGAGTTGAATGTAAAATGTAGGAAAAAAAGTATATTTGCTGGATTTTATTTTCACAGAATCATCCTTTCTGCGAAAATAGCGATAATAAAGTATTCTACAGTATTTATAAACTATAACAACACCAGCTTTCTGACCTTCACTGTATCAGACTACATAAAATGGCACTGGCTAAACTTCCCCTTTCTTAGTGAATAAGTCAAATAATGCTTCATCAGATCCAATCTCAGTCCTGATTATCTGTTGCCATAGGCACTGCAGCTGAACTGTATTTAAACCAGTCTTATAAAAATATCACTCAAGAGAAAATGACACCTTTAAATGTATCTCAAATGCTAACCTCTGTTATATGTTCCACAAAAGCTCCTTTAAATACCAATCACACGGAACCGAACGTGATCTGTAATAATGTTGTCGTCACAACCGCAATCTAGCTTGTCAGTGTTGTATAAATTTAACCAAATGGTTATCTGTATTACC